CTCTGACCACATTATTAGGACAAATATCAATATCGAAAATTAAAAATAAGACTAACAGAATAAGCGAGGTATGTAAAATCAATTTCTATGTAGATCATGCGGATAGAAATACTACTAATTGTAAGACCAATTATTACTCTTCAGAAAACCTGGGGACCAAAATCTAAGCCTGTCGAAGAACCATAGCCCCTTCAATAGAATATAGTTTCTTCAATAGTTAGAATTTTGAACTAACTCCGATTCATGGCGCATCCNATAGTTGGGGGAGGGGGGGAGGCTATATTTAGTTGGGGAGACAGCTGGGGATGCGGAACCAACTCCTCCCACAGTCACACCTTGCCGCATTCTCGTCTTCGAGTTAATGGAAGCCTTGCGATGGAAATTCTCTTCCCAATTTATTGGTCGACCTCTGCCTTTTTAACAAATCTCCACGGTAGAGATTCGTGCTAGGGAGCTCCGTGCCGGTTCCGAATACCATCTCGAATAATTGGACCATTTGTCAAAGAGAGAGCAGCCTTCTGCTGTAGAATATCAGTTGTTGAAAGCTGTATGGGCCTCCTCGCGTGACTATACCGCTCAAAAGTGCACGGCGTATCTGCAGCCGGTACCCTACCTATAGAAAAACATCCTCCTGTTATATCCCAGTCCAACAAACTCTCCAACTTCTCTGTACAATCAATAAAGAACTACTTTTTCAGGACATCGCCCAATGCAAGGAGGCATGCCGCCAGTTCGATTGTGCAGCAGTGAATTTGTTCCAATTGGGCGAATTTGCTTTTAAGTGCGAAATTCTTGGCACCCTATATGGAATGGTTCCAGCCACTGGATCAGCATGCTACTATGCTTCAGACCTGATGGGAGGCTTGGGAGGTCTGGGAGGCGTAGGAGGCATGGGAGGTTATTTCGGTCCGTATGGGCGAAGACGAAAGTGACGACAGCAATTATTGATTCTTGTACATAGCAAAACATTCAAGAAAAAAAAAATAAAAAGTTTCTGCCAGAAGTATGTCAACAACCGTCATTTTTACATATTAAAACATAACCCGACTTGAGAAAAGGCACAGTCCAAGCATGACATGGTAACCGGAATCCCTGCCCTTCCATTTCGGGAAAACCTGACCTCTACCGGCTTTCTTCAGTCTTCAAGTCCTTCACAAGAAAAAGAAATAGATGATGGTGAGATGGCCAAGTTCAAAATGCTACAGAAGACACAGTAGAAGTTCTAAGGTCAAGCAAAAATTGCTACAGGTCGAGAACCTTCGTCGTGTCCTCTCCGTGACGATCAATCAGACCTTAAGCTTCTTAACGTCAACAGACCCTTCTCTCGATTCTACTTCTGCATAATTAAGCTTATGAGATACGCTTTGAGACATCCCAATCGACATGGCATTGGGTTAACTCGATCCCTACTTTTATGCCGAAGACAATTCCTCCAACAGCGATTGACAAAGGCAAACATAACGTAAACTCGACCTGATAGTTAAGACCGGCCCTAGCTATACCCCTAGGCCCAAATCTACATGATGCGAGCACATCGGGATCATACAACGTTGTTATTTTCTCGAGACCATTCGTTTTATTCGTGCTGCATTAGAATGCGCCACGAATCAGAATTCCTTATAGAATTCTACAAAAACTCAGATGCACATTTGCTTTACACAACGAGTTATGAGATCTGAGCGGAGCACAAAATACTTTCATCATTTCTAACCAGTCTGGCTACCTATTCTCCATATCTCAGGAGGCAATAAGTAGAGACGGCCGATTAGATTCGATCTACGGACCTTGTGAATAGCAGTCCCTTATCCCAGTTAGAGCTCTGCCGAACAACTAGGGTAACGACGATGACACAAAAAATCGTGAACCAGTTCTCGACATTGGATCCGCCGCTTAGCGAGTTCACGTTGGCACAACAACGACGAAATTCCAAAGATTTTCGAAATATAGGAAAAGATTTGTGTGCCAACAAAGGCAAAGAACATTGCTACCGCTCATAGGTCATTCAGGCCTATCTCGATAATAGGAATTTGCAATAATATTTCACCGAAGCAATCAAAATGAAAATTATTGGTTATGTAAATGATTGTAATAATTCCACACGAAGTTTGTAGGTACACGAATTCGATACCAAATTCAGCAATAGGAAACAGAAACACAAAATACTACTCAGCGAGCGAACTGTAGCAGATCCCTTGGAATTACAAAAAAAGCAGAACTCTACCTTTCTGCGCTGATTCCGGATCCAACTCAAGGCATTGGGCAGCTCGAACAGAGTCGTGACGTGGATCAGCAACGAGGACAGCTTCATAATGCTATTGATAGCACCGAATAACTGAATAAAAGGGCATGAGAACCCAGTTTGTCAAAATCTTTTTATCTATTCCAATGTGTGTATCCCTAGTCATCAAAGTAGGTCATGGGGAAAGCCACATTAACACTTATCCCTTACAACAGTCGGATCGTCCGGCTAACGAAGGTCCTCTTCTATTCCGTAATAAACTTGGCTTTTCACCCGAATCCCTTCCGCTTATCTACTGTGGGATGCCGGTTCTTGATCAGTCTCTGACCACATTATTAGGACAAATATCAATATCGAAATTTAAAATAAGACTAACAGAATAGGCGAGATATGTATAGAAATACTACTAATTGTAAGACCAATTATTACTCTACAGAAAACCTGGGGACTAAAATCTAAGCCTGCCGAAGAACCATAGTCTTCTTTAATAAGAGTCTGTTAGAATTTTGAACTAACTCCGATTCATGGCGCATCCCTACAAATCCAACTGTCACCGGATATGTCTTTGTCTTTTCTCCCCAGTCCATTTAGCAGGAAACATGTAGGAGAGTCGTTGAGCTTCATAGGCCGTGTTTTTGATGTGCGACAATTCCAAAATATGCATTACCAGACAAATGTTCCAGGAATATGACGGTATTTCTAGTTCAATCCTGGAGGGGTAAGTTTAGAAAGTTACACAGAAGTATGTGGGCGCTTGCCAAAGCTGATTACTCACCCTTTCCAGATCGGATATTCCCTTGCAATCGCTCAAACCGGGCTGTTTCGATCGGAACATCAAAGAAACATCAATAATAACGAGCATTGTGGAAATCTAAAATAGAAATTAATAATGCGCCATGTTTTCTCGTCGGAACAAAATGAGACATCTAACTATTTTTTGAATCATCGCTTTTATTAAAAAAATATTCAACGCGTGTAACAATATAAGCAGCTCTGATCCATGATGTCATCATCATTTCTATTCATTTAGTTCGTCTCTCTGAATGTAGAGATGTAGCTTTAGGTGGGGTTTTAGTTGTACATATCAATATGTCCTAACTTTTCGAGTCCCGACGCTAATTGTGACAATTCCTCGGTAGAGGATGAAATTTCCGGAATGAGTCAATAGCGACTAGTGTATCAATTACATATGCATTGCTAGACAATAACCTCAGACATGGCCCATCCTTAAAAACGCCCGTTTTCTAGAAAATACATTTCACCACTTCACGAACTGATCAATGTAATGGCGGGCTAGTGTCAAGTGAAAACGATAATTCAGATCCCCAAGTTTCATCTGGAAGATATTGAAGTGAAGGTGTGTGCACGGCTTGTTCTCAACGTTAAACTTGCAGCCGCCTACNACCTCAGACATGGCCCATCCTTAAAAACGCCCGTTTTCTAGAAAATACATTTCACCACTTCACGAACTGATCAATGTAATGGCGGGCTAGCGTCAAGTGAGAACGATAATTCAGATCCCCAAGTTTCATCTGGAAGATATTGAAGTGAGGTGTGTGCATGGCTTGTTCTCAACGTTAAACTTGCAGCCGCCTACGTTTCTCCCATTCCCCCTTACAATCAGACTAAGCCCTCTTGATTAGGTTCAGAAGGAGCGTCCCTATTCATCTGTCAACTGAGTCGTTGATAAATGCATACCTCTTATTTACACCAGGAGTGGAACTCCGCCCATTTTGCTTCACATTCCGTCTACTATGGATATTCTCAAGAGTTTCGTTTTTTTTTTCTCAGATTCATGATGTCTTTTGCGCCTATGCTACTCTCGATAGCTGTCATGTCAATGCTTATTGGTGAGTGCCAGAGTAAGTCCCGCTATCAATCCACCTAACCATTTCGCCGTGCTTTTCTACCGGCTTCCCCATTTCTTAATTTTGTTCATTTTACGGCATTAGATTCGCGTCATTCAGGTGCCTGCCAAACTCACACGCTAAAGCCTCAAGACGAAGTTCATAATTTCAGACTTGCCAGTGATGCAGTACGTCGAACCCGGAACTTACCTAGTGCAACGTAATGCCTCATGTCGTGGTGGGAAGGTGTACGAGATCGACAATGTTCAGGTAAGGATGGAATCAACGACTAATTGGCTTTGTGGTTCTGAATGGTTTTGTCCTCTGCTCTCAGAAATGTATAGGCATTGAATTCAGCAGTAGGAACAGCTGTCTGAAATAACTTTTCGTTACAGTTAAACCTTGTGGTATTCTTGACTTCCATGTTGTGTAAGAAGGGTCGCCACCTAATTCTCAACCTAACCCTCTTTCTACGTGGACACAGGAAATAGGCCCGAATATCCAAGTTCCATCCTGGCCTTTGAGCAAAACACAATAGAAAAGGAGAGCGTTCAACATACTGGTACAAAAGAAGTATTGGAAATATTTAGCCCTAGCTCCGACTATATTCCCGATTCCACATCGAAACCCCGGTTCGACACAGAAGAACCAAGGCAAACGCAGACAAACTGTTTGAGATCTCTGAGCGAGTGACAGCGATTGATGATTACTACCGCAGTATCGGGGTCCCAGGCCATTTCCCAAGTGGGAGTGAAAGCTCTACACATAAAACCTAATGACGCTACCAATTCCATGCAACGGGTGCGCCCCTGAATTCGACTTCCATTCAAAATCGTACAATGGCGTTTACGATACAAACATGTGTAGGTGACCAAGCGTATGGGAGGACAAAAGTGCCGGAAGTGTCAGCTCTTTTATCCTCCCAGACCGGTCTGCTGCACTTCTATTCAAAAAACATCTATCCATCTTCACTGTGCTATGAATAAAGTTTTCAGGACATCGACCAATGCACGGAAGCGTGCCTTAAATTCAATTGTGCTGCAGTGAACTTGCTTCAACTAGGCGAATCCATGTACAAATGCGAAATTCTTGACATCCTGAATAGGATGGTTGAAACCACTGGATCAGCGTGCTTCTTTGAAAAAAACGTGGTCAGAGGCATGGGATATCGGGTAGGCATGAAACTCTCACCCTACAGAGGCTTCAACAGGGCCGTCGGACACTACTGGGGCATGAGAGGATACAGTGGTATCAAAGGCATGAAAGGTTATTTCGGTCCGCTCTGGTGAGGCCAAAAACAGAAACATTTAACGTTAACTTTTGTACTTGGCATTTTTTCGAGAAAAAAGAATGGGAACAATAAAGTCTCTATCAGATTAACATCATCGGTTGTCTTCTAACACATCAAACTGCCATGAAAGGAACAATCCAGGAAGGAATAAGTCAGAACGAATTTTTGCCTTCTCACATTCGAAAGCCTGTCAATTATCAGCTCTCTTCAACCTTGAAGCCGCCCAGAACAAATAGAAAACAGTTGAGACTGTCGATAAGTATGAAATTAGAAAAGCTAATTAATTCATGAAATGGCAGCCCCCGAAAAACCTATGAAGGCAGCTGAAGAGGTTCTGATACGGTTAAGCCGTGTATACAGATCGTATCCTTTCTCAGTGCTCCAGCCATGACCTGTAAGACTAACCTGACCGTTCCCCGGGTACAGATCATCTAACAATGTAATTTGCACAAGTCTACTCGCTCTATTTCATCTTTTTTTGGGATGCGCCATGAGGTTGACTAGCACAAAGGATTTTACCAACATTTTGATCCGCACTTGCCCTGCACAACCGGTTATGGGACACTACCAAAGCGCAAGGTGTTCCATACCCTGAAG